AGAGAGAGAGAGAGAGAGAGAGTGAGTGAGAGAGAGAGAGAGAGTCTTACTTGTTAGAGTATTGAAATACAATTTGAAATACTTGACCAACTGTTTGCCGGTGACTTGTTGGCCGCCGATCTTTTTCACGACCACATTCTTGGGGTTTAACATCAGCGGCACAAACTCCTTCAGATAGTCGACAAACTCCGAGTCAATATCGACCACTCGGCCGTCAAAGCGGGGATTAGTGGCCACAGTTTTGCCCGGATATGGCATCAAATAGCACCCAATCTTGCTAAAAATCGACCCGATGTGGCGGCGAATTTGCTTTAACTGTTCAGCCTGATCCTCTTTAATGATCAACTTTTCATCCAACAACCCCTGACCACCGGTCAGACCGTACGGGTGCTCGTGTGGGAAACTCCAGTCCCTTATGAGAAACAGTAACTTTTGAAAAGGTTTCTCGCCGGTGGCCTTTATCGCTTGCTGTCCGAAATCTGTGAACATTTCTAGCACCTGGAGGTTGTCCTCCTGGAGATTGCGCATCAGATTAAACACTGATAAAAATATTTGGAAAAACCAATTAATATAGTTAATGTTACATTTAATCTCTGTCAGGTCGAATATATTCCGGTAGATATTTTTAAAAATAAATAATATTAACTCTCTGATAATACCAAAAGTATAACAAATGTAGTCAAATGAATAGAATTAAATATTATATACTAAATGAATGAATATCCTAATATTATTAACCATATTATTAAATCTAATAATAGTCTATTAAAACCATGTGTATTACATACCCTGTATGGATGAAGTCATAGTTGACAGCGCGAACACAGTGGCCGAATGTCTGACAGTATACCCCGAATCATAGGCTCCCTGAGTATCCATCAAAACGATGGCCACCTCCTGGCCATCATCTAGTTTGAAAACAAACGGCTCCGACCACATCAGTATACCTGTGGTGTCAAGTTTTCGGCCGCTTCTCCACGAGAACCCCTTGAGTGGAGTGTCTGTCGAGCCGAGCCAGTCGTCGGTTGTGCCGCAACCGGACTGCAGGTATCGCAGGAAAAAGTTCAGCATAAAGGACTTGCCTATAAGTATCCATATGAGCAACATGCATGTTTTTAAAATTAATTTTTTAACCACTATTCTGATATGAATAATGTGGTTTATAGGATCGTT